TCTGAGAGTTGTGGTGATTTATTGAAATACCCCCAAAAACGCCAGTCTTCAACGCTTGTGACTGGTGAAAGGGCCCAGTCGCAAGTGAGTTAAATCGAGTGCTGATGAGTCGCAGCCGGACGAAGAATATTTTGTTTTCTCTGCTCTTTCCTTCGTCTTTCTCTCTAATAAAATTAAAAGAACATTTTAAGTAAAATCTAAGTGAAATTTCATATTGATACCCTAAATAATTTGGGCACAATGCGTGTCTAAGTTTAGTGTGTCGAGTTCAGACCGGTTTTTCCCCCCGCTCGCGGCAAGCCAGGGTGGACAAGTGTACTGCCGCGGCAACGCAGGGTGAATTGGGTTAAACCATTAGAAATAAAACCGTATAACCCGGCACCCATTGGGTTTTAGCCCGATAATTCCGACTTTCCCACCTCCGAGGGAGGGAATGAAGGTTGGCTGTTTTTGTTGCGCTAACAATGAGGGGCCACGTGCTACATTATGGGTTTTGGCTTGATAGAAAACCGAACTTATCTCTGTATTGAAAACGGATGGGAAACGTGACGCAGTGTAGCACGGATACTGAAACAAAGAGCTGTTCTCGCTCTCTCAAGTGACATACACTGGATTCAACAAGGTCAGCACGTGAAAGCGAAATGAAAATAGGATCCAGTGTGCCTGCACCTTTAAAGAGGTTATCATTTTACACAGCGTTATTAAACAGCAAAAAAAGCATGGGGTAAATGGAAAGTGGCTACTTGTAGAGGTGACTAGGTGGCCGCCACGGCAGTTATCTATATCTATATTAATCCTGCCTGCAGGGAGAATGAAATCCTTAAAACAAAAATAAATCTGTTAAATATTCTAAAGAAACAATTACTAGCAGCAAATACCTGAAGTGACCCATAGTGAAATGATGGATCAATTTCACCAGCAACTCTGTGTGACCCCACCATAAATAATACTCCTGTGATGAAAATCGGGATGCTGGGGAAAAAACAAAAATAACAAACAAAAAGATATAAATTTTTTAAAAAGACACCGTGGCTTATTTAAATAAAATGAAAACCAATTATCATGTCCTGCACCTTACAATCACTACGTTTCAAACAACAGAACTTAAAGATTTGTTGATTACCTTACTAAAGTATTTCACAAATATATAGGGTGATTAAAAAAGAAAACACCAAAATCATCATGCCATACTTCAAAAATGAAAAACAATAGAAAACTCCAGCTGGAACACATGTGTTGTACATACCTTCAAGTTTTTATTTCATGTATTACAAGTGCTCAATGTGACCACCACCTGCAGCACGGACAACATCAAGCCAAGATGAGAGTTCCTCCCAAAAGCGCCTCAGAATGTCTCAAGCCACCGTGTTGATTGTAGCTGTCATTCGATCTTTCATGCCACCCATATTTGCTGGAAGTGGTGGAACATAAACTTTGTCTTTAACATATCCCACATTACAAAATCACACACAGTGATGTCAGGGGAACTGGAAGGCCAAACGCAGAGAATGAGGTCTTTAGCATTTCTTCTACCAATCCAGCGCTGAGGCATGTTTTCATTCAGATAAGCTCGAACCCAGAGATGCCATAGGGGCAGTGCTCCATCTTGCTGAAAAATGAAGTCATTCGAATATGCGTGCAGTTAAGTGAATAGCCACTTTTTGTACGGGTATGTTGAGACAAAGTTTATGTTCCATCAATTCCATCAAATTTCAATGACATGAAAGATCAAATAAAAGCTACAATCAACACAGTGGAATCAAGACTTCCCGAGGCACGTTTGGGAGGATTTGGAATTCTTATATCGGCTTGACGTTGTCTGTGCTGCCGGTGGTGGTCACATAGTGCACTTGTAAAACATGAAGTAAAATCTTAAAGGTATGTACAACATATGTGTCGAAGCTGAAGTTTTCAATGGTTTTCCTTTTTGAAATATCATCGTGTGATGATTTTGGCGAATTCTTTTTTAATCACCTGTAAAAAAAAGTTCAAACATTTGAACATAAAATACAAAATTTTGATAAAATCATTCTCTAAAGCTTGGCAATAAATAAAAAATTACCCATTTTTTCATATCATAATGTAAACACATAATATAATTTTTCTTCTTTTCACATCCTTGGGAATAGAGCACTAGCATGAGCTAAAAAATCAAACCTAAGGCAGACAAACAATATCATCTGATCTGCTCCAAAGTGTGGACAAGGGATAAAGCCCTGCACTTAAACACGAAAAATAGCTGTGAAAGACAAAGAAACAAGAGATATGTTGCAGACAAAAACAAAAAAAAAGATTCTTACCCAAATCCAGCAAAATAGAACCAGATCTGCATTTTAAGAACAAAGCATAAGCTGCGTACGTGAAGCAGACACATGACCAGGGCAATGACCGCTGTCCAGCAGCGCGAAGCGAACACTCCCACCAGGAGGGTAACTGTGATTGGGTAGTGATGCCAGCTCTCACTGTTTGTGTTTGCATAGAATGCTATCATACCCACACATGAAATCACCTGTAGCAAAGAAACACAGTATCATTAACTTTACTTTCAGCAAGACTAGTTCGTAACAAAACTAAGGGGCCCTTTCAACAATAGTGTCAATGCAGTTTGAAAAGCAATGAATTTTTAAAGAGCTCTTTTGGGCAATGAACCAACTGACAAGCGACAGGTAGAGGGTGTTTAACTCTTTTCACTTTTCCTTTCACAAGAAAGGAGTCGATTTATTTGGAATTCTTTCACTGACACATGCTGACCATATCATCATACATTGTGCGGGTTCGAGTTCAAACAAAGCCCAAGAACCATCATATAATACTAGGAAAGGAGCAAAACAGACTCGCAGGCATCATGTATCATAAAACTATCAAAGGTGAATCTGTAGCGTGACACTAAAAAGAAGTAGGAGTAGATTACCTAAAAGCAACCACCAACCGCCCACAAATACCATCAAAACAAGACACAATTAATAGAACTATGGAGCAAACAGAAAACAAGTCTGCAAAGCCTTTCAAACATTTCTTTTACAGAACTAAAAACAATTTGACAATGTGCCAGGAAACCAACTTACATGAGAAAACATCAAACATATTGTGAACTTATGAGGGATTCGTCTCCATTTCCCACTCGCAACAAAAACACCTGTAACCCAAACCTGCAAAAGAAATAAAGCTAAAATCAGGTTATCTGTAATTTCATCCATGACCATGCTATACAAAATTAAATAGTACACAAAACCATTGTCAGCAATTGAAATTTTCATTTCAGTATCAAATACTGTAAAATACAGAACAATCAGTGAAATCATAAAGTGTTACCCCATTCTCCTTCTTGTCTAACTCTATGACCTCAGTGAATGCAAGAGAGCTTGCTATCTTGTATATCCTGAAGTCCATCGAATACCCCTCAGCTTGCAAAAACATAAATTTAACAGTCAATCAAAGGTAGTTCAGGCACTTACGTCCTGAGGGCTAACAAAGGATGGCAATCTTTTGTGCTCATTGAGCTCCCTTGTGAAGGATTCGAGAGCCTAGTGTTGGAATTTCCAATCGATCTTCAGAAGGTGAAAGAAAATAATTCAGAACTCAAGAAACACACCTCGTGCTTTTCAAAATTCAGTTTAAACAATTCTATTATCCCCACATTTATATATTCTCTCTACTTTGTTAATGATAATCTCACTTTCCTCTTCATTCAACCTATCATCAACTCTTGACCTGGTATCATAGGTTAACACTAACAATTGTCACAAGAGCAGAGACTGAGCCCACAATTTTGAAACATATTTGCTTACATTATTGTTTCCTTTGAAATGAGGTAGAGAGTGTGATCCTTGTGACTCGTTGGAGTAGAGGAAGATAGGACTAACATTAACTCCAAGATACACTATTCTGAAAGTGAATTGTGTTTCTTTCTTTTAATCATTTTAGTTTTAGGAGATGTTCTTTAAGAAGGGGGCAGCTTTTACAATTGACGATTTTGGGAGTTTTACTACATTTACTGAAACTTCAACCACTTCTGAGCCTAAAATAAGGAACAGTGGAATTTGGAGATTGCATATTTTTTCACAAAAATTGTTTTAACATACTTGGGTAGTTTTAGTTTGCCAATTATGTAACAAAATGTTCCTTTAAAACTTTTTCAATACTTGATTTTGGGTTTTTTTTCTGATCCTAGTTTTGTTTTCTATTTGATTCCAATGATGACATTTTAAGGATTTGTTGTTCGCATAATAACCTAACTTTGTACAAACTAGAAAATCTGGATTAACAAAAAAGTGCATCCAGCTTTCCCCCTCCCTCCCCGGCAAACATGGTAGGCTTAAATGGTTTGACAAATTATAAATTGGGTAAATCTACACAATCAATTTTGACCATTGTGGGTCATATATAGTGGAAACCATATATATAACAGGCCCGGTAACATAACAGGTATCCGGTAATAACAGGGATTTTTTAAATCCTCGTTTTTTTCTACTCTTTGTCTCTATTAAAAGTTATCGGCAATAACAGGGCCTCATCGGAGCCCAACCGGTTATTGCAAGGACAAAGGCCGTTAACAATATGTAAAAAGTAAGAGAGAGAGAGAGAGTAACGCAGTGACGGAGCAAGCCATGCCACTTTTTTTTAGTTTTTAGTTTTAGTAGAGGTTTTGTTTGTTTTGTTTTTGTAAAGTGTTTTACGGCGCTCGCAACTGCACAAGGTCATATCAGCACGCGGGACACACCTAATATTTTCAGTGGGTAGGAAATTTTGAATTTTGCCAGGGTGGCGGCCGAAGCCTACTCTTATCGATTTTAGACCACCAAGGGATCTTTAACGTGCGCAACTTGCACACGGGTCCTCCGAGATTTTTCGCCCTTGT